CAAGTTAGACGAGGCAAAAACTTGCTCCAGAGACACTTTTCTTATTACATATAGATTCAACATAACTTAAGCTACATACAAGCCACATTGATAAAACACGCCGGCGCCCAAGGGCCGGCGGATTATCTGTCCGAGTAGGGGGCGTTTACATATCTAGGCGTACACTCCCTACTCGGACAGATAATAATAGAAAGGATGTAAGCTCATACAGACGACAGGAACCTATGATTATCACCAACGGAAAAGGAAAATGTATTGATGACAAGTGCGTAATTTCTTTCTATACGCCAAAGGTGCACTGAATGCACGCAATTACTAGCCAGCTAAGACTTTTTATACAATACAAAGGATGCTCCTCTCAAGCAAAACAGTTTCTTACATGTCGACGCCCAATCTATTCAGTAGGCGCGGCATGATGCTTAAGTGCCAGCGCACACTGTGCACCAGGTGTATGTACACGCAAGCGCACTGTTCACACACGCACCAAGATTGAGACCGAGACACAACGAGAGCATAAGCGAGACACGCGAACCAGCGCCACAGAACCGATGCACCAGCAAAACAGAAACACCACGAAAACACGACCGGCACATCACCCAAACATGAGCAAGACACCGAAACATCACCGACACACCAACCATGACCGAGACACCATGGGACACCGGGACGCCCAGGCTGGGGGGCCGTGGATCCGACAGCGCCCAGATCGTTCCAACCGATCTCCGATGTTCACGGAACCGTTGGGCAAGCTATCCGCCATGCCAAGCCGCTTGGAAACGATGTTCAAGATCACCCAACCCATCTCGATGATCAAGTAGTCGGTGATCACGCCAAAACCCTCGATACCTCGGGGCGAACCCGCTGGCCGCGCCCGCGCTGAGCTCTCCGCTCCGCTCCCCGTCTCGGTGTTTTCGGAGTCCGGAACCAAACATTTCGCATCAAAAAGAGGTATTTTTCAGGGCCTACCTGCACCCCTACTTGCCTGCCCAAAAAGTAAAGGACCTGTCACTCGGTTTCGGTGGACCAACGAGACGGCGACATGGACGTTTGGTGCCACCGGTGGCACCGGTGGCACAGCGCGCGGTGGAGTGAACGACTCTCGTACGTGGACGCACGCTGTAGCATGGTTTTCAGGCAACAAATGGACGACCGGTTGGACAACCTGAGTACGTACACGAAGGATGAGCACGGTACGCTCCACCATCGCAAGAGCGCTGGCGAAGACCCCTATCTCTCGGCACATAGCTGCTCCATCGCCCCTCCACCATCTCTTCCTTCCACGTCTTCGGCGACCACTCTGAGGCCCGAGCTCAAACTGAACCAGATCGGGAAGGGGAACCTCGACGGCGTGGGCGGACGGGCATCACAGCGGGCGCGGCGCGGCGCGGATGGCCCGGATGGTCGTGTCCGGTCCGAAGAGCGTGCGGGTTGACCTACCAGGCGTTCCGACCCCCTCTTATAAACCATTAAAGTTGAAAAAATAGACATTCAAAAAATGTGAAATTGGTTGGGAGTCTCCCTATTAAAATACACACCCATGTGATTTTTGTTCTCACCCTGTGGAATAGGTCATGTGGAAACAGCCTAGGACGGGCCTAAAATCATGATCGAAATGCAGAAAGTACGGCGCAAAAAATTGCGCTCTACTCCTTTGTCTCATTCTTGCTGGTGAGCAAGATGTCTTCAGCACGCGCTGTGTGTCTTCTGTTGCCGACCCGGCAGCACCGGTCGCAGGTCGACCGGTTGGACTCTTCGGTCACAGCCGAAAAAGCGCGTCACAAGCCATCCGGTGGAATCCCCCCGAAGCAAAGAAAGGGCCATGGGAGGCAAGTGCCATGAGACTCTTCCATCAGAAGAAGAGGGTCATGAGGCCATATGAGGCCATATGAGGCCATATGAGGCCATGAGCCAACTTGAACTTTTGAACTGGAAAGGACACGAACGACTGCAGAAAAAGAACCCAACGAAGACTGCGGACCGGTCTGTAGGTCTATGACGGTCTATGTGTCTTTCTACCCAGGTGAAAGAGTTCGCACCTGAAGGAATGAGAAAAAAACATACGGTGAACTGGAGCATTTCCCCAAAATCGTCTCGTCAACTCCTGCCCCCCCCAGCGCAGACCGCCGTCAAGATGCCAGGTGATCACCAACAAGATGGAGAGCTTTCGGAAGTCCGAATCTCCTGGAACCCCATCCGCCAAACCCATCTGCCATGTCCCCCCCCGATGACTTCCCGATGATGACTTCCCGCGTTCGTTTGAGTGTTCGTGCCCGGAAGGAAGGCGAGTTTGTGAGGTTGGAAGAGACCAAGCCATGGTGTAGAGTTCCCCCTCTGGCGGTCATCTTCTTGGGGTCACTGGCCGAAAAACCATCGAAAACTCAGGTATTTCAACGTGGGACAATGGGGTGAACCAGGCTTTGTGAACGGATCTCTTCCATGTTTGCATGGAGTATGTATGAAGCCATGTGCTGTAGATGCCATTTCGGTCCATTTGCCAAACTCCTCTGCAGTACAGCTGTTCGAATCATTTGGACACTGTATCACACTGCTTCATCCCCAGTGACAGCGGATTCAAACTAGAAACACTAAAAACAAAAAACATAAAGGAAGGAATGTAGGAGATAGACTCTCCTCAAGTAGCCCCTCCTGTTCGGAACGTTCTTTCTGAAAGCCTGTCCCAGGGTAGCCAAGTGCGCATGATGACCGGAGGTTGGGCCCACACCAGGAAACCAAACCCTAACAGGGACCCTTTTCTTATATGCCTGCGGCCCATGGCAGAGTTTGACCCTCGGACTCATGTTGAATGGCTTATTGTATCCTGCGTCCTTGGACTCGTTGGCGTTGACGAGGCCATCCTATTCGGTTAGTCACCGGGAGTGTAACCATGCCGCGTCGCCAAACTACGGCCTCCAACAAAAAGCCAAGAAATGCGACACCTGGGATCCCACCGTGACACCTTCCCCACGCCCACTCGCCAAATGGACTTGGTGGGAAGGGGTTCCTCGGGACACTCTGCGACCACTCCACTGAACCGGCGCCCGTGGGCACCGCCGGTTTGGCACCGCCGCTTCCGCGCCAGCCGGGGGCTCCTTGGAAGAAGGTCTCTTCGCCCTCGGAGTTCTCTTTCACTTGCATCTGGGCGGCGCGGCGCGCCGGTCGCGCCCCGGCGGAGAGTCGGCGCGGGGTCCGCGGTCGGCGTCCTGGAGATTTGGAGGGCGCTGCCGTCCGTTTGGTCCTGAAAATAGATGGTCAGCAGTCATGTAGAACACACACCATATGTGGAGGTCAGTTGAACCAGGGTTCCAAATTCAAAGCTGGAAACGGCAGTCACAAAGGGGTGGGTTTTTAGTCCCATCCAGTGAGTGGACAATGGGCAACCCTAACCTCCATGGATAGCACCCCTTTGTGACTGCTTGGAATCTCAACCTTCATTGGCCCATGAGCTTCTCGGACTTGCACCCACCGGAGGCGCATCCATCCGGTGCCGAACACCGCCAAACCCGGCCCAACCCGGCCCCGATGTTTCGCTGCTCGGCCCAGTCACGGCGTTGTGCCAGAACATGATCAGGGCGAGGAACATGCCAAAGGCATACCTCACCCCGTCCGACCCGGAGCCGACGATCACCGGAGCCGGGCGGCGTGAAGAAAAGGCGGTCGGAGCCAAAAGGATGGTGCTGATTGAAGGATATGGGGGGGGGAGAGAACATCCACTGGATGGGACCAAAAACCCACCCCGTGGAACTCCAGGTTGATCAACCGCATCCCCTCATGGTCAGCCTCACCTGGAATCAAATCCAACTCTTCTGCAGAGACTGAACCGCTGGGCTCAGTGGGAGTGAAAGATTCACTTTGGGGTGCACTTGGGGGTTCAGCTTGGTAGGAGCATTTCACCCACTGTAATTGTTCGCTTCTTCCCCAGGCCCCAGGACCCCAGAGGGGCCTCAAAGTCTCACCTGGCAAAGGAAAGGAGGTAGGTCGGGGAGATGAGCCTTTTCAAAAAGAACGCTACCGTCCGAACGTGCTGCCCAACGTTGCTTGGCCAACAAGTCTCACATCTCTCCTGGCCCTTAATCTTGAAGGGCATTCAACACCCAGAGTGGTCTTCAAAGAGAGATGGAACCCAGCGCAAACCCCCCGAAACCAAAAGATAAGCACATCAATTTCTCCATTCACCCATCCCAACCCAGCTTCTGCGCCGCCCCACCAGGTGCTCCTCCATCCGCCCCATCCCTGTTGGGATCCACCGTCACGTGCTGCCCACGCGGCCAGGCATAGCGCAGCGCGTCGCCTGGCACCCGGCCGTCCCAGTCGGGGAAAAAGACTCATGGCACTGAACGGTTGGTTGGGATCCAACTGGTGGAGGATGCAAAAGAAAATATCCACCACGGTGACCCAGCTCCGCAACTCCTCCCCTTGGTGTCCGAATGTGTACAACCCACTTTTCTCCCACGATGTTCAAAGTCTCCTATGCGTGGGTGACAGAGTCAGAACGTCTGTAGTCATGATGGTCGTTGGGTAAGCTTGGTTTTCTTGTTTTCTTATGTTGGTGACCGCTTTGTGGGGGAAAATTCCTTAGGTGGCGCAGTAAGAGCAAGCAGGAACATTCCCCAGCCTACAGCCTACAGCAGCAAGTTATAAAATACAGTTTGACAAGACTTCGTGAACATTTTGCAAACTCTTGAAACTAGTCAAACTAAGCATATGCTTTATGTATAGATATGTACAAGTGTACGTACACATGTTAAATGAAAGTTTGCTGATCGTCGTCCCATATGTATTTGTACAAATAGATATGTATATATATATATATGATATCTATATATATATATATCTATGATATATCATATATCACTTGTTCCTTTTACTGCTGATAGTCATTCCCCTCCTCGTCATTATCATCACCATCAAACTGGTTCTTCTGGTCCTCTTCGGAAAAAAATAGACAAAGTGACTCTCTTCTGTCCAGCGTGCGCGTGCGCGCCGCCGAAACCGTGCAACGCAACCCACGCCCCGCTCCTGTGAACATCGAGGCCGTTCCGCACAGCAACACCGACACCGAGAGGAGGGGCATCCTGGATGCGGTCGACGCCCGTCGGACGCCTGGACATGTCCGGCTTTGTTGTGACGAGGGTCCTCCGATCGGGGGGGCATCGTGCCAAGTCCTGCCCCTTCGGGACAACACCCAAAGCTTTTGGAACCATCAGATCGGAGTAGGAAAGCGGTTCTGGTCCTTTGTTTGGAAGTGGGCCAACCAACTACGAGCATCCTTTCAGTTTTCAATCGCTCCATGCTCGGACCGGCGAAGTTCGGAAACCCCAAACCACTTCGTCTCCCAAGGGCGGTCGCCCGGACGACCGGACAGCCCGGACGACCCGGGTGGGTGCAGCTCGTTCGTTCGTTCGGAAGATGAGAACTGGGCACCGTAAAGGTGTCCAGTTCTCATCTGTGTAACAAATGTGGAAACCACGGACACAAATCGTCTGTGTTTGTGTGTTTTTTGTGTCAAATCTGTGTGGTCAGGGTGTTCACCCCAAGGCTCCAGGCCCCTTCGGCGGTCAGGTCGGTGCACGACTCGCTCGGCACTGGGTCCCAGCCGTAGAAAAAAGGAGTGCCCCGGGGGGTGAAATGGTACTTCCTCGCCTGAAATCATGAAATCATCATGGTTTGGTGGAGTGAAAACCACCTGTTTGGTATTCGGAAAATAGCCTCAAAAGGATGACCCATGTGACCATTTCCCTTCACAAACAGGTGGTGTTCACTACACGAAACCATGATGATTTCAGAGAGTGTAGACTCCCTGATTTGCCTCCGAGGATTCACATCAACACTACGAGGCGGACTCCGGACCGCTTGGTTTCGCGTGTGGCACCCATTTGCCGATCGTCCGGTCCGACCCCAACCGGGTTCACCGGTCCGGTTCACCCTTCGTTGAATCATGGCGGTCGAACGACATCGGGGCGAATCACGGCAAAGACCACGACACGAGGAGGAGGAGGAGGAGGAGGAGGAGGAGCCGGATGGACCCTGGTGCTCAAAACCAACGTCATCCAACGGAGCTGGAAGGTTCTTTCAAGCTCACCTCTGCCGGCGAGCTTGACCAATTGTGTGGCCAAGCGTCATGAAGCGACGGTAGCTTGGAACACGAGCGCCTCAGGAACCGAGGAACTTCCCGAAGGACGGAGGCGGAGCTTTGGCGGAGCTTGGCGGAGTGACCGAATGCGCCAAGCCGGCCCTTGGGGCAGGTGAAGAGTTCCATATCCTGGGGCCAAGCAGCGACCCATAAGCCATCATGAGTGAATCATAAGCCTGTGAGGTATATATTACTAGACTCCAGAATCAGAGGTTTGATCACATCCTTCCAAGGACTGCTGCTGCCTGCAACAGAAGCTAACCCTGACGGCATCGAACCCGGCCCCGCATCGAACTCATCGCGGCCGGTCGGTCGCCCCAATTCGCCCACCGACCAAATCTCACTCCGATTCCCAGCGCCAGGTGTCCGGCCAAGGCCGGGAGATTCTTCGTCACCACACAGACGGCCCAACACCTCCAACTTCAACCCAACCTTACCCCCATGTCCCCCCCCCGGCGCGCGAGGCACCTGCCAGGACCACCAGCTTCAGCTGCATGATGGGACAGGTGGCGATCCACTCGATCGGACGCGACCTGCCGACCAAACCGAAGAGGACGAGACACGTTGGAGCCGTTGGAGCCAACAGGTTGGGGACTTGCCGTGGTCCGGCGCCTTGGGAGTACAGTCGAGTATTTTCTTCAAGGAATGTCCTGCTGCTACTTGGTCTCGTGTCCCTAACCGTCGAACTGAACCATCGACCAGGGTTCCCCATTGAGAGGAAGTTGATCTCCACAAGGCTCACTTGAATTCACTTGATTCACATTCCGCTCCGTCTGCGTTCACCTGAAAGTTCCATCCATGGCCGCCGGCCGGGATGCGCAGAAAACCAAGCTCAAACAACCGTCATCTCTTGGGAATGGTGGCAATAGTCTCAAAGCTTCAGCTCAGGAGCAAGGACGCTGCTAGTAGCTGTTTGCTGCTAGGCTACTAGTAACGTTACTACTGGCAAGGACGCTACTAGTCTGCCAGGCACCATCATCAAATGGCTCGAACACAGCAGCACAGCAATCGGCTGTTCTCCAGCCCGGTTTCGCGGGCTTAGAGGACACCCCCCGAACCCAACTATATATAGAATAACTCCCTGCCACCAACTTCCACTGCACACCTAAAATATGAATAAAACATCTTCATTCATCTTCATTCAAACCGATGTTCTTCGCACCCCTTGGCCAACCGCCCAACCGCCCAACTGCCTGCCGCGCCCCACCACGGGGGCGACTCGCGCAGCGGTGTCGCACCGCTTTCCGTGCGGAAGCGCGCAGCGGTCTCGCGCCAAGGCACAAGTTCAGGGTGAAGTTGTTCGTACGCCCCGGCAAATCAAAGTCGTCAATCCTTGGGTGAAAAAAAATTGGATCATATCTAATGTAACACATCAAGGTTGGGGATCATGATATATGACGTATAATATATATATATATATATTATTTTCATTTTATATTATATGTAACATTAAAAAAGAATATATATATATATATGTTATGATTATTTATATATATGTTCACATCTATGTATGCCCCAAAACAATCGGATCTCCGACCGGTCGGCTTCTAGAACGCGAAAACGGCTTCCGGGTCCGGTTCTCGGGCGGTCCGTGTCAGGAATCCAAAAGGAAGCCGAAAAACACGGAGAAAGCGGCCCAAGCAACTTGCTTTCCACCTGATGGCCGCTCTGGCAAGCCCATCTTCTACCCCGTCCTGCATTTCAAGGGATCACAGGTGCTTACTGAAAGCTTCCAAACCCTACAAGTGCAGAAGAACCTCCTGAACCTTTTTTGAGAGCTGCCTTATGCTGCCTTACCCAGCACAGATTCCAGATCCTCAGCATACCCAACCCTTCGCTGGGCTTGCCCCCGAACCAGAAAAAGATAGCACTTCTGACTTCTGAAGGGCAACCAAGGCACGCGGTGAGCTGCAGGATGTTGAAAAAGCCGGAGAAGAGCGCCACCGCGGTACTGATCGTGGCACCTGGGAGCCACAAGCCCGACGCGATGAATGGACGCCGGTTGGAGCCGGTTGGAGCGGATTGGAGCTTTGGAACGGTGCAACGCGGTGCAGCTTTGAAGGCTCTCAAAACATCTCAAACCCCATGTCACTATGCCTGGGCCCACACAGACAGGCCGAAAGGCCGGCCCTCAACGTCCCCCTTTCATCCAATTGGAAGGGCCCTCCTTCGCAGCGCTGTCTCCTTCCGCATCCACCGCCCGCCCGTGGGGAGATGGGTCACGTCGCCCGACCCGTCGCCCGTTGCTTCGGGTCTAACCCGGCCAGGTTGGGCCGCCGGTTGGGAGCAGGGAAACTGAGGGGAAGCGGCCCATGGCATGCCATCCCCCATGGGAGTTCGGAGGATGTCATGGTTTGGGGTAGGGCTTCTGTCAGTGACGTGAAGCAGTTCAGGAGGTGTTTCCAAAGGTCGTTTTGAGGTGGGAGGTTCTGCAATCCACTGAGGGCGCGTGGAAGAATGATCCCAAGGCACATACAGCATGGCGTTGCTCCAAGGGTGCCTTCCTTGGTACAACAACACACTGAGATGTTGAGTCAAAAAATACCAATACCTTGCGCGTTATTTTGTGGTGCTCACCAATGCTACAACCCGGCCTGGGCTGAAGGTTGGAAGACAGGGAGGTCTAGAACATGGAATGTAACACCAGTGAAAATCCAGTCACACAATCGGTTTGGGTTGCTTTTCCACGACATCCTCTTCCTGTCCACCGGAAACATACGAATCTACCGGCTGTTTGGGGGTTCGAAAGACCCCGCCGAAATCTGTGTGGACCAACACCGGGCGAGAGCGCTCACGAACAAGCCAAGTTCAGCTTCAGTTCGACGCTTTTGGGAGTGACCGCTAATGGTTTTGGAAGCAAACTGCAACTGTTGCAAGCGCAAGTGCTGCAAAGATGAGAAGAAACCAGGAAGATTTACCAGAGACCAAGAATCATGCCTCCAACCCTTGGCAGTCAACCGATGTTGCGTGCTTCGTACCAATATTTGGTCTGGGACCGACCTTCGAGCAGCCGACTGGACTGGCTAATCACAGATTGATCATCCGTCTCGAAAGTCCGTGCCGCTGGTCCGTTGAGAACATCCCGCAGCCCTGCGTCCGAGCAGCTGAGCCACCGCCACCTACGCCGGTGAGGTCTGAAACGCGAAGAAGAAGCGACCCGAACCGCGGCCCTCACTTGAATGAATGGTGCCATTGATCACTGAGTTCACTCTAGTAGAAACACTCCGTCACTAATCATCCCCCATCCTGGCGCGGTCGGCCCACTCGACCTCAGAGAAGAAAGGAAGCAAAGACTCACGACCCGCATACTCCTTCAGTGTTGTCCCTGTGACTTCCCTATCTGGCCAATCCAATTCCGTATAGTACATGGTGGGAAAATCTCAACCTTCCCAGACCCATCTGCCCTTGCTTTGCGCGCTGACCGACAACGTGGCTCAAAGGACGCGCCGAAAGGTAAGGATGGCCCATGTTGCGACCCAACAGGTGGTGTCGCCTCCATGCCTCATGTGAATGACCCAGAGAGTAGCTCCACTCAAACCTGCGTGTGGCCTCCTTTGGTGTGGCTGTTTTCCGGGGGTTGAGGTTCATGTTCTTGTGAGCGAGGTGTGAGTGTGAGGTGGTCTCGTCAACAAACTTGCCTGCCCTGAGACACCCTTCAATCGGTGGTAAGCAGATCCTTTTCGAGGGTACAGGTCAGTATGCGGTTCTTTCATGTTCTTTCATGTTCTTTCCACGCAGGTCTACCGGTCTACCGCGGGTTTCAAAGGTTTGAAAACCCCACTTTTCATGTCCCAATTACTGGGAGATATGTGTTCTGCGGGGCTCAACCCTGGGATTTTACAGCATGTTCTAGACTGACAAACTCTAACATTGGTACTCCCTCGGATCAACTTGAGAGAGGAGGGAGTGAACGAAAGGTAGCAGGCAAACACAAGTAACCCTGGTAGAAGTCCAGGAGGCAAAATGCCACACTGCAAACCTTGAATCGTACACCGTGAAAAAAGAGTCGAGGTTGTATGAGAGAGACGAACTTCTGTGCTTGGATCAGCCGGGTCTTTGTGGTCACTTTGAAGCCTACATAGCTTAAAACCATCGAAATTTACATGTTTATGCAATTGTCGACCATTTTTGAAGCCTAGACACCTCAAAATTCATCGGTTTTTGCGAGGTTCTTTGCCGAACAGCCACAAAAAAACCTGTGAATAGTGTGGTTTGAGGCCACTCTTGAAGACTGGAGGAGCTGAAAACACTTGTATTTACGGTGTTTTCTAGCCGTTGACAAAGAGCCGCGCCAGATCTGCGAAACTCATTCCAAACAAACACCATGATACTGAAGACTAAACCTCCCCTCCAAACCCCAAGCCCCTTCAGAAAAAGCCCCCCTCAAAAAAAAAGGAAAGAGCTCTCCCGCCACAACCCGCATCTCCATGTATCTCCTGCCTTCGAGTTGTTGGCAAAGATCAGCCACATTGCCAAGCCAATGAAACCAACCCCTTGACAAATCTGCGCGATCTCAGCCCGGGGCGAGGTGACGTCACGCGCGTCGTGTGACCGTCACAGGTGTGACCGTCACACGGCTCCCGTCACCGGACGCTGCCGGGAGGCACGTCCGACGGGTCAGTTCACTCGGATGGACGGGTCGTCAGACTTCGACGACACCGGTCAGGTCTTCGATGGATGCCATAGACCGGGGTCGGACTGTCGGACTCACCCAGAAACGCCACTGAGTGAGTTTGGCCAAAAGTATCACAATCGATTTCGTGACGAGGGGAGTCGGTGCACCAAGGACCGAGTCGTCGTCATTTCGGCGAACGCTTCGTCGTCGTCGCGTCTCATTCCGGTCAGGTCTCCGGTGAAACCGCCATGTGTCCGCTACGGAACCGAGACGGCTTACGTGGGTTCTGAACCCAAAGACCGTTCGTCGCACCGCAAAAGCCGAGCGCCCGAACGCCACAAAGGTCCAGGTCCGGAAGGGAAGACCACCCTACCACCCCTACCACTCTTCCCGACCGCCCCGAGGCCCCGAGGTCGGGGCGGTGGCATGCACCGGTCAGGCGCAGACAAGAAGCCGAGGATCGGAGAAGAAGCCCCTTCGAAAATGGGTTGAGACTAGTTGAGACTGTTTTGGGGGGGGGGACCAGGTGTTTCCTGGTGGCGACAGGATGCAACAGGTGCCCAGGTTCACCACCTGTGGTCGGGTCCCACAGCCGAACCTCGGAGGGTGTTAGTTTAATGGTACATCTGGAATTGATTCACCTTGTCCTCTTCATCTGGAATCGATTCGCTCAACCAGAAAACCGACCGAACCCCCGAAGGAGTCAGACCAAGTCCACCCGTCAGAGATGCGGGTCAAGGCACATTGTGCGCATCATTGAGATCCACCTGGCTCAAAACAGAACGATCCCACAGAAAGTCACAGCTTTGGTCCATTGCAAAGATAAATTAGACATGTTAGCTCCATTTTGAGCTGAATCAAACACTGAAAAACACATGAGATTCGGAATTAGAACCTGTCCACCTCACAGTGCTTACTGTCCGTTTCTGGGTGGTCTTCGGGTTGAGCCGTGCTCGGCTTGTTCACCATTCCGATATCACCATTCGACCCTTCCTTTGGGTATGTCCACCACCCATCGAAACCCGACCCAAACAACGCTCATCCCCTCAGGGCCCGCAGGATCACCCATCGATCTCACCCCTTTGGCAAACCGAACCGCCCTCTGCTCGCCGGGCCGAAGGACAACGGGTGAAGAACAAGCTCAGAACCCCCGCGACACGAGATGCTCCGTTCACCGGAGTGGGGAGGTGGGATGGGGAGGGGCTGCAAACTGCAAACGGCAAAAAAGAAAAGGGGGCAAAAGCTGCCTGCCCATGATGCCTGATTGGTCTACAAACTTTCCATAGATCAAAACAACTGCCAGTCTAGAGTGGTTTCAAAAAAGGCTAACATGACCATCCACACCTGCTCCACTTGTGACCTTACCCCAAATCGGCCCCAAAAGCACCGTAAAAACACTCCCTGCCAAATTAAAAAAGACAGACGCGCCTTGTCGGAGGAACAGATCGGCGGGTCAGTCGCCTGCATCCGTCGAACGTTCTCCACCACATCGCTGATGGTGTGGAAGGCCTCCGGACGTGGCTGAGACCGTCGGACGGACGGACACATACTCTGGAGACTGAGGCTTCATGAGAAACAGAACCTGAAGTTGGATGCAAAAAGATCCAATACGAATGAATGTATATATATATATATACCCTGGGCTTCCATCGACGCCAGTTACTGTAGACATGGCTAGATCGTATACACCTTTTAGAGACAGACATACTGTTACGTCTATGAAAATTACACCGGCATAGACCCAGATAGCTAGGCAGAATCCCACGACCTGTTGACATGCGACGGGCTGGAACAAGAATGTACGCAGCCTGCGCAGCCAGAATACGGCACCTCCACAGCGCGCACAATCAGCTGACACCAGCACCAGCACCAGCACCGACGCCCTTTCGGGAGCGCGCGCAGCCAGCTCATTCTTAGTTGCAGCAAGAGCCCCATAGCTAGCCCTATTTGGGGAATGACAACGTATGACCTTACGCGTATAAGTTTATGCGCACAAAAGTATGCGCGCAAACAGCAAAGCCCGTAAGTGTCATTGGCCCAAGGCCAAGCAGTATCCAGCGCCACTATGTAGCATGCTTGAAGCAACGATCTGCAGAACGATAAGGCCGCATGATCTTGCGCGTATAAGCTTATGCGCACAAAAGTACGCGCACAAACGGCAAAGCCCGTAGGCTTCACTCACCCAAGGCCAAGCAGTATCCAGCACGACTTTTGTGTGTGTAGCATGCTGAAACACGCTGAAACCATGGTCGGTTGAGAGCTTGACGTTGCGCATACAACATTATACGTACAAAAGTATGCGCACAAATTCTATATCCTTGATGTGTAAATACCCCACAGCGCTAATAGACAAAGAACGCTCAAGCGACAACACCGCATGATGTTGCGTGCATAAGTTCATGCGGACCATGACTGCTGGCACTTCATTGTCAGAAGCCGCGCTTGGTCGCCCTTCACTGCTGCAAGCGGCCTTCACTGTCAGAAGCGGCGGTTGTTATCACTTCACTGTCAGAAGCGGGCACCAGCACCGAGCACCGGCACCACCACCCAGCCCAGCACCCAGCACCGACCCTGTCTCCACCACGCGGCGCACAGCAGGACGCAGCACTGGCGCCCAGTCTCCACTACACTACACGCACTGCCAGCTCACAGCACCAGCACCGGCACCCGGCACCCAGCACCGGCACCCTGTCTCCACCACGCGCACACCCACACAGCCAGCCACCGCGTGGACAGCCAGCTCACAGCACTAGCGGCACCCGGCACCCACCACCAGCACCGGCACCCGGCACCCAGCACCAGCAACCTGCCTCCACCACGTGCACAGCCAGCTCACAGCACCAGCACCGGCACCCGGCACCCAGCACCAGCACCGGCACCAGCAACCTGTCTCCACCACGTGCACAGCCAGCTCACAGCACCAGCACCAGCACCGGCACCCGGCACCCGGCACCCAGCACCAGCAACCTGCCTCCACCACGTGCACAGCCAGCTCACAGCACCAGCACCGGCACCCGGCACCCAGCACCAGCACCGGCACCAGCAACCTGTCTCCACCACGTGCACAGCCAGCAGCACCAGCACCAGCACCGGCACCCAGCACCAGCAACCTGTCTCGAAAGCGCGCACCGGCAACTCATTGTTATTTGAAGTAAGAACCCCATAGCTTCGCTATCTGGGGAAAAAACAGCATCGTCGCTAGATTACCGAGGTTCACGATGGATCACGATGGTAAATGGCACAACATAAGGCAAACACTCTCTCTGATACCATAGATTTTTGGGGGTCCAGTTCACGCTCTTTTCACGGGTATCTAGTGACATTCACGAGTATTTAGTAACATTCACGCATATTTCACGCTATTTCACGGTCTATTGGTTTTGCTGCTTTTTTCAACACGCCCAAAAATCATCGAAAATCACCAAAAGAGGTCGATCAACGTTGCACCGAGTGATTTGTAGACAGCCTCCTACGTCGGTACTTAACCAAGTGATCTATAGACAATCTCCTCGACGGTAGTAACTATAGATATTGAAGATAAGGGTATACATATATGCAGTTGTATTGTATTGCAAACATGCTTTTTCTTAATGGATATTTGTATGTATAGCATCCTGTTCTTTCATCCTCTACACCCTGGTGTTTCTTTGAACACCCAACTGACACGTCATACCGCCCACCCTCACACCCAAACCCTCCCACGTTCGAAAACCCGACAGATCACCCCAGTCTATGGGCACGACCAACCGTGAAAAACACACACCGTCAAACACTCGGAGCCGAGCCCGCGACCCATTCCAGGCCTCCGAGAGGCGATCCTGAGCCACGACCACGGACTCCATCTCTTCCTGGTCGCGCGCGGCTCGGGTCCACGTTTTCAACTCCACTCGTCCGAGCTCTGCGGCGCTTCGTGCGCCATCCGTTCCCGGTGAGTCTGGAGCGTCCGGAGGGTCAAGGGGGTGCGGTGGGTGGGTCGAAGGAGAAAAGACTTTGAAGGTCAAAAGTCATGTGAGAAGACAACTGGATGAGATAAGGTCAAAAGTCGCGTGAAAAGACCACGGGATGAGATCAAAAACCCAAACCCAAAACGGAACCCACTGGAGTTCCCCGTTAAGGCAGGGGCCAAAGGCACAGAAACTCCTGTTTGGAGGAAAGCCAGGACTCGTGGTGTCCCAACCCCAGACCCACCCGCCTGCGTCAAATACTGAAGCGGCGGACACGAGGAGCGTGACACTGAAACTCGAAACGGCTGCAGAACCGGACACGAAGCGTCGCACGACTCCGGTCGGTGAGTGCCGACACACGTGGTCCGGAGGTGTTTTTGCAAGGTCTTCACTCAAATTGAGCCATCTGAAGGAGTTCCAAGCAGCATTCTGGGAACTCACCGCAAGTCTGTCTCCCCGGTCTGTATAGCCCATATGTGTACGGATTCTTGGGGGAGGCTGGTGAATCACCTTCCAACCGGGGAGTCTTCTTAGCCAATTGAGTCGTCTCGAGGTCCAAAGGAAAGAGTCCAAGTCCACAATGATCCCAACGCTTGGACCAACAAGTGCTCCACCAATGGATTCAGGTGATTGGGTGCCCTGGTACCGAATGCGGATGCGAACTGACCAGGCATGTGGCGGATCGAGCCCCCTCCGGTGCGAACATCATGAAGCCAAGTGTGCCGCGATCTATTCCCTCAACACGAGGCTTTCTTCCAGCTGGCCTGAAATCATCTGTTGGGCAAACCACGGATGGCTAGGAGAAACAAAAATAACAATTGTTCCAACGTAATCCATCAGTGGTTGCCCACAACTGATCTCGCCAACCTCGGAACGTCGGTACTCCTAGTACTCCACCTCTCAGGGAGGACGTCCACCCACCTCCCCCGTCCGAACGCAGCTGTCCCAGCTGTCCCGAGGCCACACGGAAGAGCCGGTCGAGTGTGACCACCAGAAAAGGTGACAAGTGCTCAGAATGAGGTTGGTCGGTTGGCCTTCAAACTGTACCAGCCACGTCCATCCCCAAAACCAACCCAAATATATACTGATATACTGAGTAGGTTGCGGGGATGTTGGTCCCAAATCCAATCCTTCAGTTCAGGATATACTCAGAGAAACCCATCATCCCCACAGCTTCGCCCACACTCCTGTCGACCTCCAGTCTTCTCCACGAGTGATACCGGGCCGCCGGACCCACCGGGCTGCACCGAAAACGCCTCCAAAAGCACCACAAAGACACAAAGAGACACACAAAGAGAGAGAGAGAGACACCCTACCCCACCCCATCACAGCTGTCACTTCAAACCGCGCCCCGTACGCAAGAGTTGGAAGGCTCCTCTTTGGGGGGAAAGACTGGTAGCCGTTTGGACTTTGGCGCCCCCGAGAAGCCGTCATCTGTAATCTGCAGTGGAAGATTCGTGCACAAACTAAGGGTTTTTTCAAACACCTTCGTGTTCTGACCCTGACACGGGCTTACTCGCTGTAAGCCCCACCTTCTCGCGAAGTAATCTACTCAGCAGCTCAAGTCTCAAGTGCATGTTCTTGCGGGAGGCGCTCCAAAACCTTCCCCCACTCCAATGCCCTATCCACTCGAATGCCCCATCAAGCTTCCCGCCTCAAACCACTCACACGTAGTGGCACTCATGGCGAGCCACGACGGCCGCCATGGCGGGATGGGCGAAAAGAAGGGAAGAATTTTGCGGTGGAGGCCGCCCGTGCTTTTTCGGGTGGAGCCAGTTCATCCCAGTTTTCTGGTGCAATCCAACATGGAGGTGGTCCAACGAAAATGACGGTTTCCTCCCAAGCAAAATGGTTGCATAGGGACCCTAGGAAGAGTCAGAGGACATCTGCTTGGATTCGTGACTTGCTACCGTCCCAAGTCAGGACCCTGGACTCACTTTCACCACGGAGTGAGAATGTGACCACTTAAAACGGTTGATCCCTTTGTTAAGAAGGGAAACTGATCTCCTAAGCTGCCAATGTTTACCACTAGTAATGAGTTGCCCCCTCCATGTGGCATCCATTGGTCCCAGTAATCCTTGACAGCTTCCAGAACCGGACGGGCTTATGAGTGGCTCTGGTACCGAACAGGAGGTCGGTAGGGCGGGGCCATGTGCCAGCGGGCCAGCGGGTTCTTCAGTGGATCTCTTGATGAGTTTGGTTTTCTTCAGGTTTGGGAACCGTTCCAACACTTGCATGTCCTTGCCGTCGTCCTTCCACTGACTTCCAGCCCATGTGTGCGACGCGGCCAACGGCTGCTAGGAAACGCCAGTCTGGCTTCACCCCATGTGAGCACTCAAGTGATTCTCCAAGAAAGCATCTGGTCCAAAAGCGATCTCACAACCGAAAATCGTGCGCTCAGAGAACGCCGAACTCTCAGAACCGAAAAACAGAGGCAGCTTGACACCAAAAAACATCCACCCAAACTGGACCACTCCCATGCGAAAACTCAGCCCATCTCACCCAAACCTCTCAGCCCATCACCTCCTCACCTCTTCACCACCCTTCTCGTTCGACCTCCGATCGTTCAGCCCGATCCGCCTCTTGGCGCGCTCCTGATCTGCGCGGCTCTGCGCTTTGCCCTCCACCGACTTCTCGGTGGCCGGGCGCCGCGCCTGGCGCCGGACGGTGAAAAATCCTCAACACCGCAACACCGTCTCCAGCAACACCTCAACACGTCCAGGTTCAATCCCAAAAGCAGGGGCGACAAGCAACACGTCCCAAACTCCCTCATGTTTCACAGATGCTCCACAAAGACCTACCTGTCCCGTCATCTCCGTCATCCAGAACCTCCCCGCGCATCAGAATCATCCATTTCGCCGCTTTGCCCGTGAAAGCATCCATGTATCATTCACATGCCATCAATGACTTCAGTGCCTCCAAACATGTGTATAGTCCTCCAAAAACATGAGGGTGCTTTTCTGGCCGAAGTCCTCCAAAACCGGAGACCCACGGGTACCAAGGTGCCCACCCAGTGCCAATGTATCAAGTCATGGCAGTCATGGCACCTGGAGCTCCCAAAACCCCTGCCAGGTGGACCGCACCGTGCTGGTAATGACCATTCTTCGGCTCATCTGACCACCACCGGTCCCCCCTGGGTGTGACCCCGATGTGACCTGTGCATGGCACAGGCAGGACCGCCGACCCCAACCCCTCAAGGCAGGGGGTGGCCTCAAGCAAACCCTGTGAAGCCGGGGAACCCCAACCCCGCCTGCTGGCTGAGCTCCAACTCCTTGAACGCCTGCCATGGCTGGCTGAGCTTCTAGAAATGTGTCACACAAAGTTTGGCTGAGCTCCAACTCTGAAACGCTTGGGCGGAGGGACAGAACTCTCCCAAAGAGTTCAGCGCCACGTCCGAGTTGGGCTTTCTCTACCCATCTTTGGCGTTTGTTCGTTGCGACTCCCACTCCAAGATCGTCACCTAGCAATCTGTCGAACCTGTCACCCGACACTCGGGACAATGGGGGACTCATGGTGCTGCCATCGGCAGGAATGGTCGCCCATGTTCCATCCGCCCAAGGGCAGCAGGTGCCTTGAAGAAACCCAAAAGCGAAGTTGCTTGGCTTCGCACCGGGCGGGAGCACCAAGCACCGCGAAGCAGTCGAAGCGGTCGAATGGATGGGGGCTTCGGCAAAGATTCCATTGCTGTCTCACCGCCGAAACCGACGCAACGAGCCCAAGCAACGCGAAAGACTGGTTCCGACGGCCGTGTTCTCCGCTGTTGCGAAGAGACTTGGTCAAAACAAGCAAAGGCAGAGACAAAGTAACGCGTTGCAAGAAAGACTCCAAAGGGTGGGTTCCAACTTGAGTGTGTCTGGTGGAATCGAGAAATCGCCTTGTGCTTTGACTTGGAAGAGCCAAGCCCTTCTTCACATGCTAGAGAGCTGCAGCTCGCAGCTGTGGAAACCCCAGCTTCCAACCCACCGCGCCGTGGAGGCGTCCATCGCGCGGCCAATGTGCATGTTCCGGCAGTTGTCCACCTTGGAGCAGTTCCGGAGAGCGAGACCGGCGGGGGACGGGGATGATTCACCCGCCGGACCTGCGCGGCGCGGCGACGGCGAGCGACGGCGGAGCGACGGCGGATCTTGCGCCCGCCGGATGACAGGCTGAAGGCTCGAGCGACGGGCTGCGACGACGGGGACTGGAATCGGCGAAATCGCTTGATATTTTATCTATGTCCGACATCCTATAGTGACTTCTGAAGCTCTTAATGGATAGATCGAAAGGTTGGAACCAATGGGTAGGTTTCAACCTTTCCGGGTGTTTTGGGACAAGCATCTTGACCCACAGAAACCATTCTACTCCAGACTCCCGTGGGTCCCCGAAGGCCACCGGGCAAAACCCACCGGGAAACCGAACAGAAAAGGTCTCCCCTCCGAGCATCCGAGCGACCGGAGCTCGGGACTCCTCCGCTAGCTGTGGGTGGCCATCGTTTCGCACCCCCCGGGCCATTCCGCTCATCATTCGTCACGGAGTCGGTCGGCAGGTGCCAAATTCGCCACTACGACATACTTCATAGTCTGCACGGAAGGACCCGAAACCCCAATCATGGGAGCTCCTTGGTCGATCCAGCTCATCGTTTTCCCGGACACGCCTCCAATGCAACCAGGTGCCCCCACCAAGCAGGACACAAACTGCTGGGCGCACTGTTTCTCGTGCTGCCTGGTGATCGCAACGCTGGAACGGTCCGGTCAACCTCGCTCCTTGGAAGCCCTCTGTTCCACACCCCCAGGCCTCTGGTGATCTGAACTGAAACTGAAAACAGACCAGGCCTCTGGTTGCAATGTCTGTCTGTCAACTCCCTGTCGCCCAGGCGGCCCCAAAAAGAAACGAACCAACGGCATCCACCGATGGGAGGTCGAGTCCAGCCGCTTCGTCGATCGACGGTTTGACCTCCACCGGTGTGGCCACAATGGCCACAAGAAAAGCAAAAGAACCGTCGCCACTCCAGTTCGGGCGGAGAAACCCCCGAAGAAGCGAAAGAAAGCAAACGCGTCGCCACCAACTCTACTCCGTCCGACCCTTTGAGCAGCTGTTTCAACCAACACTTCACGACCGGACGTCGATCCCTTCCGCCTCCAGAAGTCCTCCTTGGCCGCTTCGTGGCGCCGGTGCACCGCGGTCTGCAAGTTGTGCCTGAACACCGCGCTCCGCGCTCCGCACGCGGTCCGATCCGCCCGCACACGATCGCGGAGCGGCGATAACGGGCGATAACAGCACGAGCGTCCATGGAAACCCGAAAACGCCAACGGGAGGGAAAAGGTGTGGCCAAAAAATGATTGGACTATATAGAAAAGGAACATGTAGCAGAACCCCTTCAAGGTCACCTGCAACGTAAGTCTACAAACACCTTGCTGACCGGAGACCCGTTGGTCCTGACCAAACCGTTTTCTTCGTGGATATGGGTCTGGAATCCGTAGCGGACCTTTTCCAGAATCCTCGTGCCAGACAAAAATGGACTCCGATTCCACCAGAAGATGGCCATTGATACTCCACGTTTGGAGGTGAGAACCGTTTGGAGGTGAAGTGGTTCTCCACCTCCGTCTTGCGCCCAACGGTTCCTTCGATCCGCAGGGAACTCGCCGGTTCGGCAGGGCGCCTCTTCTGCTGAACCTTCTTGTCAATCTGCTGGTTCACCTCGCTGTGTCAAAGCAGAAAGCTGATGAAGTTGCAAGTGATGAAGATCATGAGGGTCTTTCCAAACATTTCTAAAATCATCTTGGCTTCTCATCTCATTGCAATCCTCCGCTTCGAAAAATGCTGTCCTCACTACTCACTCCTCTCACTGCCCATCCTCCACTCTTGGAACGGCACATCCTACCACTCCTTACCATCTCCACCCCCACCCCTTCCCCAACCCTTCCCTTGTTCTTCAGTCACCTCTTCGATCTCGTGCTGCCAGGCATTGACCAGCTCATCGGCCTCCACCCCGGCCGGTAGAGCGACACCCCGTCCCGACGGAGAGACGGCGACGAGGAAACGGCGGGACGGCGACCCTGTGCAGTTCGGGGTGTACAAGAACAAGAGTCTGTACCTGGAGCGTTTTGGTGCAATTGACCTTTTTCGTTTGGTGTCGTCATCTGAAATAAGGAAAACTTTGAAATGAAGGATGTGTGAAGGACGGGTCAATACGTCAGGGGGTCTGCGAGGGACAGGTCAACACGGGACTCGGGCGGGACTCTGGACCTGAGGTGTCCGGAACAAAATTCTTCCGACTATGACTATGATCAATAGAAACCAGAACTTGAAATTTTGAGAATCTGGAAATATTCTGGACCTGAGGGTGTCTTTTAATGAATTCCTTTCACAGTCTTGACGTTTGGAACGGCCTTTTATGCCTTGTGAGACCTCCAAAGGTCGGCGGAGCGAGCGCGCCCCGACATCGACGGACCGGGCGCCGACGACGGAGGTAGAGATCGATGTCGGAGCTTTAAATCGAATTGGTTTCGTTCAATATGACTATGAAGTGTTCATAAAGTTTTCTACTTGGGAAGGATTCTTTTTTTCAAACATGTCAATATAGGGCGAATTGGTGGATTGCAGACCAAGCCATCTACATCACCTTCATTTCCAACGGGGACACCAACCCAGTGCCGCCAAAAGCGGCCCAAGCTTCGCCGCCGGAGCATACAGCGTTTCGGGAGCCAGGCAGCTAGGCCTTGCCCATGAGCGTCTTGAACAAATTCTCCCGGACATCCTGGTTTAAAACACGCATCCGTCGTTCCCTTCAGCTGAAGAAAAATGAACTCGCTGTTGATCTGTCTGCGTGCCATGTTTGTGAGGCTAGGCCACACATGACCTGTACTGAGAATTCCTTGCCTGCAAGATCGTTCTGGGTAAAATACAAAGTGCAGCAAAGGACCCAAAATTACCATCACACACCTATTCATTGGGCTTCCATGACTCAGTCTTCCCCCAGTAAGCGGCCCCTCCTTTCGGACGTTTTGGGAAAATCACCACATCACAAAAATGCACGGACGGAAGCTATCCTGCTGCAACTGCTTGAAGAAGGAGGCAAAGGCTTCGAGATATTCTTGCTCCACCTCGGATCGCACATGTGTTGTTCTCCCTCCGTTTAATTTCTGCTCATACCTCAAAAAGAAAAGTGGTGGTTTCGCTAGAGTTTGAAAAAGAAATGTACAATGCGACAATGCCACCCTAACGACATCACTTGCCGAACAGCGTTCTGGATAACGCAACGTCTTGTATGTATCTGTGTATGTATGTATATATATATACACATTGTTGTATGTATATATAATATATATATATATCATTCTAAAGTAAAGCATGAATGTGGGACTGTCCAAACAAAAAACGGAACATGGTCACAAGTCAGGTGTCTTGACCAAAACCAAAAAGACACCCCAAACGAACAAGAAACGCCCTGATTTGGTCAACCGAGTCGACGAGATCCAACGATGTGTGCCCAAGAAAGCCGACATCGTCGACCAAAAAAAGGCCCCGAAACCCCCCGGATCTGGAGAAGATAGTGGACCGAAGTGTTTCTCCAAAAAAGAACCTCCACAGGACCCATCCAAACCTCCCCCCATCTTTCGTTTCACGCCTTCCCACAAATGTTGTCCAGCTTCCCCATCTCCTCCGCGCAGCTCCGGATCACCCGTGTTGCCTGGGTGGTCGAAGCGGGAGGAACGACGTGTCTCCTCGACCGCCTCAGGATGGTCCTTGAAAGAGCCAAGAGTCCCACCTCGCAGCCCCAAAACGATGCACGCAAAACCCGCAGCCGCGAAAAAACCGCTCGCGCCTGCGCATCCCCACGCGCGGTGCAGCGGCGGATCGCATCTTGACCTTTGAGCCAGAGCTCGTACCTGCATCGGAGGACGCGTCCGGGCGATGCTCGTTGGATGCAGTTTGTTGCCATGGATTGCCCACACTGCTTTGGATTGTATGTAGATTGCCTGATCATCTGCTTTCATGCCAATGGAAAGCAGGGAATCATGGAAAACCCATGTTGATGAAGGCCTTATCTGTGGATTAAGCAATCTCGGGATGTAAGCTCAGCATACCCAGTTCCTCGTCTTCCCGAACATGGGTTTCCCCATGCCGAGCCTCAGTCAATGTGGTCACTCCCTAGGGATCCGCGTTCGTACCTTCTCAGGTACAGTGATGTGTGGTCTCCACTGTTATGTATCGGTGCCAGCCTATTTCGGGTCCAGTCGCACCATGCGGTTTTTTCTACGGCCGGATCCCCGTTCGGCAGTGACACTGGAGATGTTTAGAGTCACGGCCTGGGTTGCAGCCTATTTCGATCACCTGGCCTGGTGGATGCGCAGGAACCGCCACGAGGGGGTGCAGCCACCGGAGTCGGAGGCCACTTCCGCCGAGTCCACACCGGTGGGCGCGGAAGCTCCCGAAGGGTCCGCTTCAGGCGGCTCGTTCCCCTCCGTCCGGTGGACCGAAGAAGCGGTCGACGTCGGTGGTCCAACGGTCCAAGTCGGCGCAACGCCGACACGAACAACGCCTGTTCTTGTGGAGATGGTGAAGGCCTTGCTGCGAGTGGAAGAAGGTGCGCGGATGACGTTCAGAAGGGAGACTGGAGAGACCCCAGCTTCAGGACCATCAGGGCCCCCAAAAATGGAGCGACACTCAGCTGAAATGAGATCTAGAACTCTTTTGTTGCAAGGACATTCACTAAGACCTATCGATTTGAAAGAGAGAGAATGTTCTTTTGAAGAGACCCCTCTGCCACCGACCAGTGGGTTGCTGGTCTACTGCTTGCCCAGTTGTTCGAACAACTGGGAGTTGTTTTTTCCGAGAGTGGAGGTGGTTATGTCAAAGCCCACGGCCGGCATCAGGCAGAGGGTGGTTCTGTCAAAGCTGTGAACAAGTTGGAGAATCGTCGTCTGGTGGATGTCTAATCCCACGGATCCTCAGCCAACCCTTCTCGAAAGGCCCAAACATGTCCATCTCGAGGTTGGTGTCTCTTCAGGACCACTGGTCACCTTGCGGTGAGTTTGGTGAATGGTGCATCCGATCCTCGGCGCCCTGGGGCAAAAAGCAAACAGTGAGGCTACACAGCGATGAAGACACACGGAAATCTGAATAGAATAGAAAATGAACCCCGAGAACCAAGTTTCTTTACAATTTGTGGTTTGGGAGCTCTATGTTTCTGGACAGTCACATCACGTCCACACTGGACCAGCCAAGCCCTCGGGCGACAGAAGGTGTCAGAAGCAGCCACATCATCTGCCTAGAGCACACAGTGGCCACATCCGGCTTCCAGGATGCCAAAGAAAGGAATTCTTTTCAGGTGGGATTTAGGTCTGCGGGGCCAAGAAATGCAGGGCCAAGTGAGTGTTTGGCCCAGTCATTTGCCAAACTTCAAGGATGAGTCACTCAACGATATGATCATCTAGTTCTGCGGACTCCTCGTTTTGAGGAGCTCAGAACCCAGAGAGCAAGGTGCTTCTCCTGGAACATCTTGCACCTTTTGCCGACATTCAAGCAATTAGGTTGTCTCCTATGTTCTACCAGGATGCAAACAACAATCAACTGGCTATTGAGGACCCTGCTTGTACCCCCCTGTCCTTCGCGACTTCTTCAATCCAGCAATTTTTCAGCTTCCCCTCATCACCAAAGGTCTGGCGTCTCTCCAAAACCGCTCGGCTTCCACCGCGACGCCGATGAGCGACTCCCACCTCCGACAGCTCATAGGCCAAGGCCCGATCCACCAGACGCGCCGGGGGCGCCTGGCAGAAGCGGCTGAAGCACCGGTGACGGGCGGTGACGGGCGGTGGCACATGAGGAGGACACAGTCTCAGGAGCTGATCACTTTCAGGCAATATCAAAGTTTTTTTGGGGTTCTTTGAAGTTGTATAACTATATATATATATATGAGTTGTGGATGAACGGTGACTCACGTTCTATATGAGTGATGAGGAGGTCCCTTGGTAAGAATTGGTGTTCGACCAGTTTCTTGGTGAGTTTCTCACGATAATACTCTCAAAATCGCTGAATGTGCCCCCAGTCGAGAATCTCCAAAGGAAAGGGGATTGAACCGTTTGGGTGGACAAAGAAAGAGTTGTGTTTTTTGTTTGGCCGTTTTGTTCCACCCGAAGATGAGCAAAAGAGTGAAGTGAGTCATGACGAATCTTAACAAACATGTGAAGTACGGTCAAAAATTATTATGACTATATGACTATATATCTGTTACTGTTGCATCCCCTAGCGTTCTACAATGTCTTGGAACCTTGTCAAAGGTTACTTTTGTCTTGATGATCCAGCCTTTCAGCTTTCTCATCTTCGTGAGCTCGGGATGAGCTTAGCACCCCCCCTCACGACCAAGGAGTGCAGGCAAAAGTCGCCAAAGTCTCATTCCTGGGATAAGTCAACAAGCCGTCTTTAAAGGCTCCAAGCTCACAAACTCTTCGCCCACCCCTTCCGCAGACCCCCGGCCGGCAGCTCGGAGCTATTCGCAAAGGTCTGGGGCGGCGGGCGGGCGGAACCGGCCGCGTTGAAACCAGGGATCGAGGGGATGTTGAGGGAGTGGAGTGGGAGGTCTTTTGGAAGAAAAAGAGAGAGAGAGAGAGAGACTTTTGTCCAAGGTCGTGGTTGTTGGTGGGGCAAGGACAGCATGCTGCAGGAGTCTGGGCCCACAGTATCTACAGTCTGCGGGCTTTTTGGTGTCTCCCATGTTCTCTCACATTGCAAAGTCTTTTAGCGGCAGGGCCTATTCCTGGGATCATGCCTACAAACAGTAAGTGAACCTGAATCGTCGAGCAAAGCGGAAAAAAAGAAAAAAACCTCTTCTTGGTTCACTCTGACTTCCCATGTAGGTCAGCGGGAAGGCCGCTTGGTGTGGATGCTTCTTGTACTAGGGAGAGCCCCCAGAGTTTCCCCAACTGAAACCCATCGGTTGCTCATCCAGATATGTGACATGGAACCCCTTTCTGGGGCGGTCTACCCTCAAAGTCGAGAGCTTCGTCCGGAAATCATCATCTTTGTGGGAGAGCTTGCACTTATATAAGTCAGGTCTATTGCCAGTGGCACTAGTAACATGGCTACGGACATGAAGAGCTTGCCACGCCTCGCTGTATCACTACAACAAAGGAACACAGAACCATCGCAACTTCAACGAGCCCTGAATTGGTTTCAGGCATTGTTGGAGCCGTCCGAATCCCACAACTACCCAACCATCCCCACACAGCAGCAGCAGCAGCACCACCACCACCACCTTCCAAAAGAAACAGCGAGAAGCTTCCAAAACGACCCAAAAGACGCCTCTCCGCCACGGTTGCCGTTCGTGCCCACGGGTGCTTTTTTCCGCCGCGATCGCCGATCGCCTGGATGCGGACCTTTCCAGCAAAGATCTGCAGCAACGAGTGGCACAAGGCGCAACAGGAGATGCCTCGCCACGTGGGTGCGCAAGGAACGGACTTGCCAGAACCGAGCGAGCGCCGCGGCCGAGCGGTCAGCCCGCAAGTGGGGAGAAAGCACAAGAGATGTAAGATGAGAATCATGTAGGTGTTGGCGAGCTGTTGAAGGTAGAACTCGTGCAAAAAGACACATCGGAGATCCTGGAACTATCAGGGTGGTGCCGTGTTCGTCCTTCAACAGTGCTTCAGACCAGTTCTTGGCGATCTTCTTGTTTCGCAACTTGGAAGAGGTTCCTCACGTCACGTCGTCCGTTTTCCAAGCAGCCACTGCTACAGTAGATGCACAACCTAGATGCAGCCTGGTTGGCTCTTCACCCAGGCCATGGCCCCCCTCAAGGTCCGTAGTAGGGAAAGTCCTGTCTACTTAAAAGCCTGTGGTCTGTTTGGAAGCTTTTGTGGTCACGGTCCTTTGCTCCGGAAGGTGGACAGAAGCGACCCCTTTGGTGCACGGTCCCAGTGGTGGACGGTCACTTGCGAACCATCATGTTCCGAAAGAACCGCAGTGGCACAGTGCTTCGTTCAGCACCACCGGTGCTTGAACCACCTCTCCAGGCCTTGGATCCGCCCAGGTAGATGGCCTGGGCCCGGAGGACGACCGAAAAAACCTCGGTGACGACGGCGAACTTGGGAGAACTTGTGTCTCTCAGGAGGCCAAGGTGATTGACACAGTGGTTTACCCATGCGTTCCTGGCCCTTCCCAATGCGTCGCTGGGCGGCCTCATCCGCATCGCTTGGCCAGCGAAGGGGGGCCAGGAACGTTCAGTTCGTGACACCGAAGCCGCCAGCTTCGCACGCCGACCGGGCTCCAACGTCCGTGGAGGATCCGCCGGTTCCAGGTGCTCCGGACCACTCCTGTGGGGGCCTGTGTGGGGACCTACCACTGGCTGCTGGCCGATCTCCGTCCACTTGGCATAGCCACCCCTAGTGGGTCTTTTGCGGTGCTTGGCCAATCCGTCCTTCTACTCCAGGTGCCCATGAGACCTCACACGGGCCGTCGGATCGACCTCCGTCGTCCTTCGGGCGCGCGGCCACCCACCGCAGGCTGCGAGAGGGAGTTCTGCAGAGACCTGGCGACGGCGTGGGCGGAACGGCGAGCGCCGCGGCGCAGCGGCGCGGAGACCCGACGAACCCGGGGGAGCACGGTTCAGCCAGAGCAAAGAACGACAAAAATGGTGCCGTCTTGGTGATGGGTCTGGCTGGTGGGTTTGACACACCACCAACATGTGGAACTGGTCCACTAGATTTTGCCGGTGCCAATGGAGAGTTCGGTGGAAAGGTCCACAGGCTTCGGATTGATTAGATGCTTCTCCTCTGGCTGACTCCCAGGAGGTACAGGCAACACTTGTGAGACAATGGGGCCAATGGAGTCATCCGAGTTCTTGGTGCCCCCAACCATCAAGTCGTGTTTAGGCGTCCCCAACACGACGTCAGGCTCTTGATGCACCACAACGCCCAAAACAACCAATTGTATGTTGGGGAATCGGGATCCTGGAGTCAATCGGGATCAGGGTCAACTTGATGTACCCTGAAGTCGTTGAACTGAGCCCAATATGTCTGAGGCGGTCACAGACTTTTTCGATGAGAAACCTTCACGCTACGCTCTTCCAAACGATGTGCATTCACAGGACTTGCTGTTCACAGCGCCACTGACTCTCACCCGCTCTTCAGCTCCAGCAAGTGAGGGTCTTCAGGAAAAGATGATCCGCGTGGATGCTCATGGTTGTCATAGCCTGTTCTGCCAGAGGTGGTCTTTACATCACTTGGGGCCCCTACCAAAAGAAATGCAATCAATCTTTGACTTCCTGTAAACATCTCAGCCGCATGAAAAATCGCAAGAGATTCTTGGTGGTTCTATATAGTTGGTTCATGAAAATGTGACAGAGGTTCATCACTGTTGGTTGGATGTATCGATTCTCTAATCTATTCTTCACATTGCTTCACCCTTCAAGAGATTGGGAAGTTTTGGAGACGTGCTGGGCATCTCTTCAAGAAGTTTTGGAGAAGATCTTGCCTCAGAGTCCTCTCCACAGCTGGAGCACGTGCAGGTCCGTGCTGTCAAAAAGATGATGCAAAGGCTCTTTGAAGGCTTTGCGAGAGGTATGTCGCCCTCCATGCAGCTTCTCAAAATGGATGTGGGTCAAACTCAAAGTTCCGGGTGTCGGGTGTCGATGCTTTCAGGCGATTCGCGGAGGTCGCCTGAGGAAACGAGTGAACTAGCCACTTCTTCGCTTCGAGGCACTTCATCGTTCGGCGGACCCACATCCAAACCATGTCGGGCTCATTTCCTGGACGTGAACCCGCCTCTCTTTGTGTCTCGTCTGATCAATGCCTTCGCCCTGCGTTTAAAATCAGGGTGCACCCCTCTGGAACTCTCCCCTCGTGCAGATTGGTCACACCGACTGTTGGCTGATCAACGAAAGTCCCGGCAGGTTGGCAAGAGAAAATGACGGTGTCAACAGCAGGTGGTCAGCCAAATGTGTTCCAAACTGCCATGGCTTTCCCTTGCCGCCAGTGCTTCCTTGCTGTGCTTTCCCTTACCTTTCACTGTCCAACAGAACATGTTTTGGTCAATCTCTACCAAGATGGAGTCGGAGGTTCTTTTCATGCCTTCTTTATTGGTTTGCCAAAGGTTCATTCGGAAGTGTCAAAAGCGAACAACTCCCACCACTTCTGTTTTTGATCTTGGGATGCATGTCCTACACAACCACTGCTTTACTAACAATACCTGCTGGTTCTTGTGCACTTGTACTTTCTTCTCTTTCTCAGGCTGGGAAGAATTCCAGAGACGGGACGCGAAGGAGGGGCTAAAATTCGCTGGGAGGAGCCACTGGATGTGCGCTTCGGAGGGAAAAAATGGCGAAAATGGGCACTCTTGCACCTCCCAGCACGAGCTCCGTCACTTCCTTCGCGGCCTCGATGGGCCTCCATGCCCGCATCGCCGATCACTTCTTGCCCGCCGCCTCCATAGCCTCACAGGGCGGTGGGCGAACGGTGGACGAACGGGAAGAGGGCGTAGTGACTGCGTAGTGGTTCGCAAGCAACTGCCATTTTTTCACCAGGGTGTGTTCCTCATGCAACGGTTGATCAAAAAGCGAAGGGTCAAGCTTTGTCGAAGTCCTGTTTGTTCAAGGAACAACTTGGGGGATGGCCAATTGGCACTGCAGGGCTTGGAACAACGACAGTGAGGACTACAGCAAGAAGCACCAGTGAAATCGCAATCACAATAGCAACTACCACTACCACAGCCCCAACCACAAACACAACCACAATCCCTTCAACCACTACAACCAGAAGCAACTACAGTAACGGTGACCACCACCGCCATGACCACTACCACTCCTCTGTTGCACCACTACAACTCCTGACTGGCCCGTTTTCAGCAACGTCTCTGCAGCCAGCGCCAGCTGGAGTCAGGTGCACCCCCTGCAAAAAAGAATAGAAGTTCCAACACGAGAAAGCAGAAGGCAAACCCCGAGTTCCCCCCGAACCACTTCCTCTTTGCTCCTTTGGGCCTTCCTCCAAAATATGGTGAAAAAATGAAACAAACAAAGCCACTCAACAAACTCCTTCAAGCTTCCAACTCGCATCCTTCCCGCCACCGTTGTTTTTCCCGAGAACCACCGGTGTTAGCATTCGCCCCGGCGCGAGCCCGCGTCTTCCTGCCGTCGCGTTTCGAACCGCCTTGACCATGGTGGTGCCCAGCTCCGCTGGGGAGTTTGTCACCCAGACCTCGGGAGGAACCGAACCGAAGGCCGTTCGTGACCAGGGAAGGTCGAGGAGCTCCACGAAATAGGACTTGCAGCCCCCCCTTTTTTTTCGGTGGAGTTGCATAAGGTGGATTGAGAGTAGAATGGCACGAAGGCCCAGTTTGGTGGGTAGTTTAGATGGACGTTTATCTAAAAAATCATTTTGGGGGGGTGCCAGTGCCATATACTCATATACTCTCAAACCAAACATCTCTACGTTTTGGATCTCAAGGCAACCTGGGCCCAACGATGTCGGCTGGGATACCGTTGAAGATTCAGCGCGACGCTCCGAACGTTCTTTTCAGATGAAACCTCACGATCACGAGACTTGACTGCTTTACAAATGGGGCAGCGGTTGGCCCAAAAAGCAACCGCAGCCGCCCCCACCTAGATAGAAACCGAACCTGCCTGGAAACAACAATAAAACTCAGCTGATGGCAAGCGGCAACCCTGTTGGAACTTCAAAGGCCACTCCTCCGACCGCTGCTCCGAAACCCCGAGGCCCGCCGAGGCCCCCGCCCCAGCTTTCTCCAGGGCTGCAATCTTGTCCTGAGACCAAGTTGACGGAACTGAAGAACTCGCTTCAGGTGCTGTTTCTTTCTTCCTATGTTCTATTTTAAAGTTTTTGTTGCATCTTTTTTGCTGTCTTCGTGAGCCTCCATATGTAGAATACTGCAGAATCATGCTGCAAATGATCCCGTGGGGCAAATCATCATTCAGGCTGCGAGCACACAAAGCTTCAGGGTGTGGAAGGAAAGATTCCGTTGAAGACCAGGCAAGTTGGTCTTGACCCACTACAGGAGCGGATTGCGACTTGCATTCCACTTGTTCATCTGCGCGATTTCTTCCTCAGCAACTGTTTATGGGTCCAAAAGAGTGCTGGATCAGCAGAAGAAAAAAACATAGTCTATTTAGTTTCCTCCCATGCCGGGGCCATGTTCGAGCCAGATTCCGGTGACCGGAGGGACAAAACAAACGTCCTGGCGATGAAGTCTACTACTAGGCAGGTCTTTCACGATCAACCACTTCATCCCTTTCCAAAAAAAACAAGAAGAACAAGTCCTCCGATCCCACAGCGGCAAAAGCTCTGCCATCCATCCCTTTCCACCCCAAAATCAAGCAAGATGCCCCTCCAGAAGTCGCTTCCTTCAGATCCCTCCAGGCCCGGCGACGCCCGGCCCGCGGCCCGCGGCCCCCGGTCGCCTGCGCGGTGCCCTTGCCGCCGCTGATGATGGCGCCCGCGTGGCCCATGCGGCGTCTGGGTCGAGCCGGTCGGAGGTAGGGATGTGTCAAGCTACCCCTGACCTGAGAGCAATTCCAGGGCAAACGGATGGGGCTGAGCTGGACCTATCTTTTTGAGAAGGTGCATCTACTTCAACCCCTTGGCTCACAGCCTGCCCCGTTGCTTCAAGTGCACCAACTCTCCGCCAAGGCGCCCGGGGGGGGCGGTGATGCCCGCGATGAAGGAGACCACCGGCTTGTGTGTGCAATTGGCCTGAGGACGAGATCCAGGCACGGTGCCACCCTGGCGGTTGAGGACCGCTTCCAAAAAGGTTTGATCCTCAAAAACCTTTGTTTACAAATCCTAAGATCCGTCTAATTGTCTCCACCACGCTCGGTGTTTCCCTAAAAATCTAGGAACCAACTCATCAGTTGCTTCTTCAAGGAAGCGTGAGCTATCCTGCGTCCTCGCTAGGAGTGAACTTCTCCTAGTAGCTTACCTCCTTACTTAATTCAGTAAGCGCCCACTTAATTCAGTAAGGAGGCAGGGCCACGGACACCAAAAAATCGGACGTCGACCAAAACCGGACTGGACCGGAGCTGGAGCGCTCCCTTGCCTTGATCCAGTCGGCAGCTTCCTCCTCGGCACTGCCACCGATCTCACCGATCATGATGATCCCTAGGTGGTCAGGAAAGCGTGTCGGAAAGCTGTCTGGAAGCTGTCGACCCAGCAAGTCAGAGGCATGAGTGGCCCAACGTAGCACAAAACAAACGGTTTTGGGCCAGTTAGATGGTGAGTAGTAAGTGGATGTATCCTTTTTTCTGCACTCTAAGGAGCGCGACCCAAAAGGCAGGTCTGTTCTGGGGCTGGAGAGGAGGGCAGATAAGACCAGCTTCGGTGGTCATAGCATACTCCCAACCTGTGGCTCCAGTGAGGACAGGAACAAGGGAACACCACCTCGCGTCATGTTGAGATCAGGCATCTATCCTCACCAAGCGCCCCAACCGCCCCAACCGCCCCGGTTGTCTCGCCTTCGGTCTCGGGATCCTGTGCGAAACGCTCCAGGCAGTCAATGAAGTTGGTGCCTCGGTTACGGCGA